AAAAAACTAGAGCACCAAAAGGATAACAAGATCAACAACCACAAGGCAGAAAAGAGAAGACAACACGATAGAAAAGCTACGTGAAACCCAGCACCCCGGACAACAAAGAAACAAACAACAAATGATAGAGACCAAGAAGTCCCCAACAAGACATTCTAACATGACAACCAACAACCCCACAACCAATAAACAATACCACCACCAAGAAAATGAACATTCAAAAAAGACCAAATATACAATAGTAGAAGAGAAGAAACCAAACTATTTTCTTTTTGGCTTCTTCCTACAATGTTTGCTACCACCCATAGCAAAAGCTTTTTTAACAATGCGGTTAACATTCAAATTTTACATCTCCTGAACATCATCCATAGGCCCATCTAAGTCGTCCCCATCACCCCTGCAGGTTGAGGATACATAATCTTCAAGCCAATCGTTTTGCTCCAAACAATCATTCTCCATATTACCCACTAATTGGGTAGTCAAAATCTCATTATAAATAAGCGAAACTGGGACATCTATAGCTGGTTCCATCAACGACACAAGAGATTCATCAGAAGCCTCAACAGAAGAGTCCACCACATCCCCATACCTAATATGCACAACACCCATGAGTAAGAATGACGACAACCGCAAGAATGAACATTAAAAATATCATATACAAAAGTAGGCGAGATAATGGGAGTAGTTATAAGGTTAATTATACAATTAGCATCCATATATGCCCTCACTAGTCAAAGGCACACCAACCTCATCAGCATCACCAAGAACTGAAATCAAGTGAGCATTGTCCACACCACCATGGCCCACAACATCCCCAATGCCAACACATGAAAATGATCAACATCCACATCAGAGATAGTTTCATTACACAAGGCATCATTTACCACCACATTAGAAACAGACGAAACATAAATCATAACAATTATATCTAAATTATCCAAATTGTCCAAACCATCCACAGCATTCCCAACAGAATTAACATTAACAATAACAATAATAGAAGCATTAATAGAAGCACTCGACAGGGCAGTATTAGAGAAATAATCATTACATTTAACTTACGAATTACATTTCAATTGCACACCCCTTAAATCACTCGAGGAAAATATCTTCACAATTGATCATATTAATATTCTTAGCATATCTTCACCAATATGTTAGTTTTAAGTTAAAATTAACTTTGCATTAATTCTTGGATTCTAATTTGAAAATTATTATTATTTTTATTAGGTAGGTCTCGCGATATTTTTATTGCCCAACATTGTGATCTAAATAACTTAGAGAATTAGTTGTAATTTTATATAAATTTTTTGAATTTTAATAATACTCTTTTGTTTTATAATACTTCTGAGAGATTTCCCTATTTTACTAATTAAATTATTCACTATAAAACATATATTCTCATCCATATTCATATTCTTCAATATAATTTATCCAACATACATAAATTTATTGCATCTAGGTAATATTTACATTCTTATAAATAATTATTATTTAAAATTATTAATAACTCATATCTATCAAAATTATACATCATATACTCAATATTTATTCAATTAGTAATGCGATTATCTTCTTAACAGGTCATCGAAAATCAACTTAATCTAATACAAATTTAGAGGCATATTAAATTTAAAAACTTTCAAAATTAAATTCAAAATCATCTAAACTTTGATTTCAACACACTCATACTAAAATTGAATATCGTCCAACCACATGAACGACATCAAAAGTAGTATGATCTGGATTTGAATAATCCAAGATCAAGCACTTGAAGCATCTTTCATGCTTATAATCAACTCCGACACATCCATTCGAGGAACAAACAATCTCTAAATATTTCATGCTTATAGTCGCATCGAGCATCACAACGAAACGAATCTAATGAGCCTAAGACCTCTTAATTCCAACATCATTAAGACACTTACCCAACCCATGCATACTTATACTCAACTCACACTATATGCATGAGTTCTACCCAATTTTGAAAAATATATAATAGAAATACAATCTATGGAGAAATTCATATGATTTATCCAATTCTGATAAAAAATTCGACGTTATAATATAACAAGCATTTTCTGCTTAGACTGAACCAAGTAAAATTTACTGAGTTAATGCAATTTTTGTATATGGTAAAGTCTTTATTATTTGGCCTAAACTCTTTTGATCAAGTATGAAATTTTCTGTCTAAAATCTATCAACATAGAGTAGACCCTCACATAGAATTTCTTGCTGAAATCTGCTTAGCTTAAAAAATTATGAATCAAAGATGAAATAAGATAATTAAAAAGAATTATAATAATTAATATTGGTGTTATTTATTATAGAAATAGAAAAAAAAATATAATTATAGTTGTTGCGTCCTGGAATATTCGCGACGGTAGAGAAATATATAGTTTAATGTCTTAGCATTGTACGAAGATCCAGCACACAATCAGATAAGTGAGAGGGCGTAGCATTCATAAGAGACACCAGAGTTTTTACGTGGAAAACCCCTAAAAAGGGGGAAAAACCACGGGGCCTAGCCCAGTTGAAAATGATTACACTAGAATTTGAGTCGGTTACAAAGGGCTGACCCGCCTCCAAGGGCGATCAGATTAAAATTAACAATTATTTGATAGAAGTCTGGCGTTAGACCCGGTGTCACCTGATAGTACCCTGGCGTCACCTGGAAGTTCGAGTGTTAGTTGGTAGTCTGGCCTTAAGCAGAACGTCGGGCCTTGAGCAGAACGTTGGGCCTAAACGTCGGGCCTTAACGTTGGGCCTTGAGCAGAACGTTGGGCCTTCAGTCGGGCCTTGAACAGAGCGTCGGGCCTTCAGTAGAACGTCGGGCCTTAAGCAGAATGTTGGGCCTGAACATCGGGCCTTCAGCAGAACGTTGGGCCTTCAGCAGAACGTGGGGCCTGAACCGCGCCGGTCCTGAACGTCGGGCCTTGAGGTGGTGGTGCAACGAAGCTCTGACGATGGTCTGACGAGGTTCCGGCGGTGGTCCGGCGAGCTCCTGTGGTGGTCCGGCGAGGTTCCGTCGGGGGTCGAGGAGGAGCTTCTTCCTTCTCTTCACCACTTATCTTCTTCTCTTCCCTTCTTGCTTCCCCCCTTTTTGTGAAGAATGAGGGCTCTATTTATAGATTTTCTGGAGTGGCATAGCTCGTAAATAGGCGTGAGATCGGGGGCTAATAGGGAGTGGTCGAATGGACGGCCGATATTGAATCCTACGATCGTGCACCGTTCGTTGAACATTTGAAGGCCTTAGTGATGTCGGAATTTGGCAATCTTGAGCTCGTTGGATTCATCTCGTCGAGTCGTTTGATTCGAGTATAAGCTTGTTAAAATCATAGACCATTTGGTAACTCAAATTGTGGTATGTACCTTCCAACAGTGCTTCGGGTCCTTGATTTGGACCCATTTGGGCTCGGATTGGGTTGAATTTGGTGATGTTGGGTTCGTATTTCCAAGATGCTCAGTTTGACTGTAAGCTCGCTGAAATCGAAGTTCGGGTGCTTCCGGATTTAATTTTTGAAGTTTCCGGGTTGGGTTTTGCATCGAGATTCGTGCCCAATCAAGATAATTTAATGATAACGTATCAATAGTAATTGTTTGATTATCTTTATTTATATTAATAAAGTTTAAAAACCTAAGAGTAACAATATTATTCTCTCAAGAAAATCTCTAAAGAGTGTTTGAAATTTTACTTTATTTTTTCCTAAAATTTGATTAGGGGTCTAAATAAATGGCCAACCTAATAACCCAACCCAACCCAAAAAATTTGGGTTCAAATTGCCTTGATTAATAAATGAGTCAGATTTGGGTTGTGCATTTCGACCAATTTATTAATAAGACGGGTTCGTGTTAACCCGTCAACCCCATTTTGATTTGAAAAAGACCCATATAATATTTTTTCCCTTAAATTCTTTTATTTGTTAGTGTAACCTTCACATTTTTTATCAATTAAACTAAAATTTATAGTTAACAATGTTAATAAAAATTATTTTTTAATTAAAATGAATTATTGGGTCAAGTTTGAGTTGTTGGAGGCTGGGGTATGGGTCAACTTTTTTGACCAGTTTATTAAAGATGTCGGGTTTAGGTTGATAAGATTCAGGTCGTATGAATTTTAAGTTGGACCTAAATTTGACTTGTTGATCTATTTTGACATCCCTAAATTTATATCTAAATAGAAAACATATATCATGATATATTGATTAAATTTTACATTATGATTAAATTTAAAGTACTTACTTGTTATGGGATCACTGAAATATATAATAATAATGATAATAATAAAAATAATTCATTTTTATGAGAAAAATTTTCCAACTAAATTGAGATATGCATTTAGTATTAGGGTAATAAAAATCTAAATATTTCAAATATTCTGCTATATTTTTAATGGTAAATATAATTTTAAATATAAATAAAAAACTTTGGTGTCTCTTATGAACGCTACACCCTCTCACTTATCTCATTGTGTGTTGGATCTTCATATAATGCTAAGGTGTTAAATTATATATTTCTCTACCGTCGCGAATACTCCAGGACGCAACAATTATATAAATTATATACATAAACTAGTTAATATTAATGATATTTTAATATAATTTAAAGAATAAAATAATAGATAAAAATAATTTTAAGTGTTTAAATATAAAAAAATATATACATTTTATGATATATATATATATATATTCTATCTTATCTTGATAATTCCATGTTCAAGAAGGTCAAACGCTAGTTTCGCAAGGATTGGACGTTTCTTCACGGCAGTCCATCCAACCGTCCAAAAATTAAAGAAGTTTGCTCACGTAAGTCCATCCAGCCGTCCAACACGAGTCAGGTTTTTGGAGTGAAGAAATCGAACTAAGCAGCTGGCTAGAAGGAAAATCTCTGACAAATTGTGCACCGTTGATTTAACAGCTGTCGCTAATCCATGTCATTGTGCAATTACATTAAACGTGCGTTGCATTAGATCGTCCGCTTAGTGAAATCTCGCCGCTTGCAGTCGTACGGCCATGTATAGATGGAAAGTCTTTCCTTTCCATCTCGCAATCGTTTAATTTCCTAGCTCAAATCAAAATCTACAATTTCTTTCGCGGGAGAACAGGGGGATGGAGAAGGCGATTGAGAGACAAAGGATTCTTCTCCAGCATCTCCAGCCATCTTCTTCGAACGGATCTTCCGTGCTTTCGGTGAGCACCGATATTTTTCCTGGCCTGCAGGATTCTTGATTGTTTTTGGTTATGCCTTTCTATGATTTAGGGTTTTGATCTACTATTTAGTGTTACTTCACTTTCACGCATTTGAACATGTGGAGTTTTTACCCCTTTCGGACCCTGGTGTTGCTTAAGTTTGGTTTTTTTTCCCCTTAAGTTACCTCTGCTTATCTTTCATTTGTAGTCTTTGATTGAAATTATGTTACTTGGTGTGTAATTACCGTACACTTACTTGATTCAGGCATCGGTTTGTGCTGCTGGGGATAGTGCGGGGTACCACAGAAATGCTTCATTCGGTGATGATGTTGTGGTTGTTGCGTAAGTCTTTAATAGCTGTTAATTTAATTGCAAAAATATGGTTAATTGTTTCATGTTTTTGGTTATTGTTTGATTTTGCGGATGATTTTTTTTGGTTTGAGAAACAAAATGGTAGATTGGTATTCAAATTCGTTCTTTACGCCGCGAGCATACTTTATCTTGGAATTAAAACAATTTATTGATTTACGTCTTTTGTTTTTTGTTTGAAATGCAAAAAAGATCTATATATTTAATCATTTTGATTGCTGGATAGTGTGGTATTGTTGGAAATCGGGCCAGTAGAGTGGGGTCTGTGTCAATTTCCTTAGAAAATTTTGATCTCACAGAGACATAGTCGCTTAAAGTAAATACCTATGCAATATTTTTTATGTGAAAAACCTTGAGGGGAAAAACAAGGGACTTTTTTCAGTTGAACAATTTTTATTCTTTATAGGAAATTGGTACAATGTTGGTTGACTTTCAAGTAATTTGAGGAACGTCCAATGCATTATGCATTTTGGGCAATCAGAAAAGGTGAATTCGAAGGCACTAATTTTGGTCCTCACACCAATTGGCTGTAGATGTTGTATGGTATGCAGAAAATGGAGCTATGTCATGCTTAAAGCTCGCTTCAATGCAATTATTGTTTTTGATGAATTTGATGCATGATTTTTAAGGAGATGACTACAACGCGAGCCTTGAATGAGATGGTTGCAGCAAAAGCAGGGTTGTGATGTAAGTCTTGCTGGCGATGATTGCCGTGAGCATGGTTGTGATGCAAGCGAGGTTGTGATGGGTAGATATTGAAGATGGATGCAACGAAAGCAAGGACAGGAAAAAGATGGCTATAATAAGCAAGGTTGCGATGTAAGTGAGGATGCAATGTATGTCTCGATAGGAGGAAATTTGTGGCTCATGTGAAGTTTGCATAGTAGGTCTTATCAAATACAATTGCAATTCATGCTAAGTTAGGGCATCCTCTTGACGTGTTAGTGATTACAGTGTAATTGAAGGTTGCAACAAGGTCTTGATGTGATGACTCTTGTAGTGCAATCAAAGATTTTAGTGCAAGTCTTGATTCATATAGGATGGTTCATAGGAATTTCAAAGGATTTGAGCTGCTCTTTGAATTTGAAAATTTCTCCTCGTATTGGGCCTATTGGCTGAATGTGGGGCTATTTATAAATAAATTTTAAAAGGACATCATGGTCCTCATTCAAAACATTCCTTGTAGCTACTAATAATGAGTGATGCAAATTTTTCTCTCAAATGTGATCAAGAAATGTTGCCCCTGGCTTGATCTGGTTGGCCATCTTAGACCATGTTTCACTTGGTTGGTTGATGTTTGTTCGACGATGGCACCTAACAGTGATCATTGCCGATGATGTGTTTAATCAATGATTTGAACATACCACTTGGTTGATCTTTATGCATCTAGTTCATTGATGATGACAGGTCAAAATTTCAACAATCTAATTGATGAAAATAATTCTAATAAGGTTTGTCATATTTGCTTTTGAATAGTCAGGAAAGAGAAACGACGCATTTTTACATGGAAATGTTTAACTTTTTGACAAGCGACATTTGTCACAAACAATTGTCAAAATGGTGGCCTATAGAGATTGCATTTTCTCTGGAAGTTGAAACATTCATGATTGATTTGCACCATAAAAATCTTGCGTTGACATGATTAGAGGGCACCAATGTATTACTCTTGCTTTAGCATTTTTTATTTCCATGAATTTATTTGAACAAACTAGTTTTTTTGGAGAAGAGTATATCTTTCTAAACTTGTATGGCATTGAATTGTTCCTTTAAGAAAAGGTTCAGCTCTTCTAAATTATTTTACGATTCATTCATTGATTCAAAATTTATGCTATATTTGGTGAAATTTTTGGATTCATTTGCTAAAGAATCCAATTGGAATCAATTGATGTCCCTAAGAAATAAATCAAACCTTTTTGAATTGTTTGATCAAATACATCTTGGTTTGTGCTCAAGTGATGTTCTCATAATAAGATTCAGAGAAGACGTTTGTTATTTTAGCTTCCACATTAATTGATCACATAAAGATTTGTTGACTCTATCTGTCACTCTTGATGAAGCACACCTCGGCGACACCTAAGAAGGAACGCCTGGAGTAAACTTTACTATTTGATTTAGATCATCATTAGCACTTACTTTAGATCCATCAGCAACAATATGGTTGAAATCTCTATCAACATCGGTTTTGTTTTAGTTATCTTTTTTTTCCATTAATAATCAGTAGGGGCACTAGTAGTGTAACACAGATCTTAAAGATGACATGGCTTGATTTCTATCCTCAGATTTACCAAGGGACCAAGTTTTTCCCCTAATCGATGGGCACTATGTTCTTTCCTGTATCCTTTCATTGAAGCTTATACCCCACCCAAGAAACCTGTTCAAGGAGATCATCTTTAAAATTCTAGCAATTAGTCCCAATCCTTTATTTCCTCAAGCTTATTTATTGTCTTGGGTATGCAGAAAACACGGTGGATATTTCTTGATCTCTGAAGTAGTCCATAATTTTTCTATTAAGGTGCTCAAGTTTTATTTCTACATGTTGCATCAATTCATTACCATGAATGTAAAGACATTTGTTTTAGTTTAGTGCTTTAAAAACGTTTATAGAATATGTTTCATACTATTTGATTGTATTGTTTTCTTCTCCTGGCCCTGCCAATATAGATCGAATGGTTATCTTATGCTTGGTTCTGTTTTGTCATGGTTTTCATTATTGCTGTTGAAGTTTATTACTTGCTACATAGGAGGACCGTGGAGTTGGGCAATTTCTATTCATTCATTATTTGAAAATATTGTTTATTATACAAGTGGTCATTTTTAAAGTATTGGATTTTATATTTAACGGAGAAAAAGGATTCATGTAGCCGACCCCACGTAGTGGGACAAAGGCTTGATGTTGTTGTTGTTGTTGGCTTTTATATTTACTGGCAAACTTTCATTATATATAGGGCTTATCGAACTCCAATATGCAAATCCAAGCGAGGTGGCTTCAAAGATACACATCCAGAGGACTTGCTTGCCACTGTGCTCAAGGTTTATAGTTGATATTATTTGAACTAGCTTATATGATTACCATACTGGCCAAATTATCAGATGTTTTAGCCTTTTGTTCATCATGAAATAATTAGTTCCTGTGTTGATTTTTTTTAATTTGTTATGGATTTTTCTTTCCCTTTATACCGTCATTGCAGGCTTTGGTAGAGAAGACAAACTTGAATCCAAATGAGGTTGGCGATATCGTGGTTGGAACGGTCCTAGCTCCTGGCTCTCAGAGAGCCATTGAGTGCAGGATGGCAGCATTCTATGCTGGATTTCCTGGTAACTTGATCATGCCCACTCTTTCTTGTGACCACATGCTAGAACTACTAAGTACCAATTATATCCTAATCATGCATCTCATATCTTAGTGTCTTCTTCAACATGCAGAGACTGTTCCCCTTCGAACAGTTAACCGGCAGTGTTCATCTGGTCTACAAGCAGTTGCTGATGTTGTTGCTGCTATTAAGGCTGGTTTCTATGACATTGGTAAGATTATTTGGTCACCATGTGCCTGTTGGGTTCTTTTGTTTTGTTCATTGAACTCATAATGTGGTAATCTGATTTGAACACAAAGGAATTGGTGCTGGACTGGAGTCTATGACTGTTAATGGGCCTGGCTGGGATGGTTCTATAAACCCCAAAGTATGTATTTTACTCAGTATCTGTGTATAATGAGCATTTTCATCTTCGTTAAATGCATTAAACCTACTCTAATAATAACAAACAAGGTTAGAAGCTGAGGATGACTTCACTATCATCATTGAAATGTCTTTCACTTATTTATTCTATTTTATTTCTCAGGCGAATGCATTCCAGCAAGCTCAGGATTGCCTTCTTCCCATGGGAATTACATCTGAAAATGTTGCACATCGGTTTGGTGTGACTCGACAGGAACAAGATCAAGCTGCTGTAAGTTTTAGCTCTACAGATAGTTCGTGCTCTTGATTTTCTGCTTATATATATATATGCTGAAGTTTATCAGCTTTGTACAGGTTGAATCTCATAAGAAGGCGGCTGCAGCAACAGCTAATGGTAAATTTAAAGACGAAATCATTCCTGTGACAACAAAGGTAAAACTAATTCAATCGTTATTAATGTTGCTGCTGTCAATATTTTTGAGCAAGCAATGATTGCGTAAAATCTCATAAGCATTTTATTATTACTTGTTAAATATCTATATGTTTATGTTTAGTACATGCAAAAATTATACTGGCGTTAAGTGGTGTAATACCATCCATCTAAGCTTTTGAATCTCATGTTTTATCACCTAGAAACTCTTGGTGGACAGCACTATTTTTGCAATCTCTGCATACAACAAATAAAACAGCTTCAAACAATAAATATCCTTCATTTTTCAATAGTGTGTGAGGCCATGGGGATGTACTGTGAATTTAAAGCGTTTTGGAGTGCTTTTGTTGTCAAGCAACTCTTGGAGGACAGTTCTATTTTAGAAATCTCTACATATTAAAATCAGTTTCAAACAAGAAATATCATTCTTTGTTGAATAGAGTTGGAGGCAAAGGAGGGGTTGTGAACTGAAGCAGTTTTGGAGCACTTTTAGCTGTATTTTTTTTTTTAATTCTTTGTAATTTCAATGTTGATATCATGTAGATCATTGACCCGAAAAGTGGAGCTGAAAAACAAGTTACGATTTCCATAGATGATGGCATACGCCCAGAGACATCTCTTTCAGGATTGGCAAAACTTAAACCAGCCTTTAAGAAGGATGGAAGCACGACCGCTGGTATTGAATAAGTTCTTTCTGTCAATGTGACAACCTTTTATGTTCTTTTTCCTTTTATTTGAACTTTCAATTGTATGCGTGCATTTAGGCAATTCAAGTCAAGTCAGTGATGGTGCCGGAGCTGTACTTTTGATGAGAAGGGATGTAGCTGTCCGAAAAGGGTTCCCAATTCTTGGAGTATTTAGGTATGTTTAATCCCGTAGAAATTGTTTTTATGCATTTTTGTTTGTTCATGTCTTGCTAATTCCTTCTTTTTGTCCTATTCAGTAACTTGAACTATTCTTAAAACTTAAACCAGTCTCTCTTTTCATTGCATTGCATGACTATTCTGGCTTCATTCTTGTTATTGCATTTAAACAATGTAGGAGTTTTGCTGCTGTTGGAGTGGACCCGGCTATAATGGGTATTGGTCCTGCTGTTGCAATCCCCGCTGCTGTAAAATCTGCTGGCCTTGAGATTGATGATATAGATCTTTTTGAAATAAATGAGGTAATTTTTTGTTGCTTTCATTTTTCTGTTAACTGAAACTTTTTCTTTGTTTGTCAAGTTTGCATACCTAAATAAGCTTCATTATGTATAGGCTTTTGCTTCTCAATTTGTATATTCATGTAAGAAGCTTGAGCTGGATCATGCTAAAGTTAACGTCAATGGAGGTGCCATTGCTCTTGGGCATCCTTTGGGTGCTACAGGTATGCTAAATTATATTAACCAAAATTTTATCTATAAATCTTGTGACACCTATTTGCACTGATAAGTTCTGCACGTTCAAGCTCATTAAATGGTTTAGATTTTATGTTATAAGGTAGAACGAATCTGTGTTGATATGCCTAAAGGAATAACCATGTTGATATAGAAAATTACCTTTTTTTTTAAAAAATTTGCTCAAGCGGTAGTATTTTACATAAAAACATCATTAGAAGGCATATAAATTTATCGTAAACTTACCATGTGTAACATTAGTGCCCTGGTCTTCTCACTAAAGTTTCGCTTGTTTAGCCAATGTTTGGGTTAGAATGTCACTGGCATTACCTTAATGGAGACAATATTACGATGAAATTGGCATTTTAGTTTTATTGTCCAGTTTGTTTAGCTTCATTACCTGATTTGCAAATGCATATATATTATCTCCTTGAGGTATGCCTATGTTTGATGAATGTCTTCAGTACAATGTAGAAGACACGCTGATTCCATTGCTTATGATAAGAGCATTTTTTGTCTATAATTTTGAAACGTTTTTTTGTCTAATGCTGACAAAATTTTCATTTATAAATTATAATTTCATCAAGTGGTATTTTCAGCCATTTCTTATCGTTGTACTCGTGTAGATATATCTTTTGTTTGTCTTGTCTATCCTGTTTCTGTGTAATGGCTGTTAATATAACTGACGCTGGACTGTTTTTAACCTTTCTGGGATTTTGTAACAATCGGGTAACTGGTTCCTGTGGGATTCTTACGGGCTTCATGAGTGAAACTTATCTCTGCTGATTAGGCTGGTGATGTTGTATGAATCGAGTGTTGACCAGTAAAATGGTAAATTTTTCATGGAGAATCCATTATCTTAAACCAATTAAATATGATCATTACATTGCTTTCGGCAGCTAACACCACATGCAAACTTGACATCATATAAGATCGTGTTGACTAAACTATATTCAACACCACATTCAACTTTTGGCAGGGGAAAAAGCAGGATCATTGAGATAAGTCTGATCTCAAATACTTAGGATTCGGCTGCATGCTGCTGTTGCTGGTACTAACAACAATAAAATTGTGCTTCTTAAGCTACTTTTGATTAATTCAAATTTCAAATTTCAAAGTATGCAGAAATTGTTGATATGTTTTTGAGGCAAAATGCTTTTGTTCTTCTTTCAATGTGGACTAGATAGCATCCATCCAACGAGGATACAATTTTATTGGCCTTATCAATACCTGAATTGTTTCTGGTAAAGAAGCTGTTGGAAGGTTTATGGAGTTTGATTTTTACTGTCCACTTTTCTTATTGGTGGTTCCTTCCATACTTAATCAAGATCCAACCCCAAATTGAGTTACCTAGGGGTTGCATGGACATCGCCACCTCCAACAACAACAATAACAACAACTTCTTAAAGAAACATGTAAATTAGCTGTAAATCGGCACCAACACCAGTAGAACCAATCTCAAATTGGGGGAAGTTAAAGAACATCCAAATGTAGATAAAGAAGTTTACCAAAGACTTGTGGGGAAATTGATCTATCTTTTCCACACCATATCAGATATAACATTTGTTGTAAGCATGGTCTGCCAGTTCATGCAAAATCCAATGCATGCTCACATGCAAGCTGCAGACAGAATACTACATTATCTTAAGGGTAACCTATGTAAAGGGATTTTCTTCAGAAGAGATTGTAGAATAAACCCATGGGCATATACTGATGCAGATTTTGCAGGATTAGTAGTAGATAGATGATCTACCTCAGGATATTGCACATTCTTTGGAGGAAATCTTGTTACATGGAGAAGCAAGAAACAGAATGTGGTGGCAAGTTCTAGTGCATAAACAGAATACAGAGCTATGATCTTAGGAATATGTGAGCTACTGTGGATTAAGATAATTCTAGAAGACATAAGGATCAAGATAATTCTAGAAGGGCCAATGAAGCTACACAACTACTGTAACAACAAATCAACAATCAGCATAGCTTACGATTTGGTTCAACTTGACAGGACCAAGCAAATAGAAGTGGACAGACGTTTCATAAAGGAGAAATTAGACTGTGGTCTTATATGTATCGACCATGTCTCATCAAAAGATCAACTTGCAGATATTCTTACAAAAGGACTCGATAACTCTACCTTTTTGGGACTGATTACCAAGCTAGGAATGACGGATCTGTATTCCTCATCTTGAGGGGGAGTGTTAAATCTCAGCCGTCCCTTAGCATTTTGATCCCACGGCTAGGATGGGAATTCGTGGGAGGCTCACATATTAAATCCTAGCAATCCCTTGGCATTTTGATCCCACGAGTAAGATGAGAATCTGTGGGAGGCTTACCTGGATCACGTTGATCTTCTTCGATATTTAGATGACTGATTTAGAAAGGATTATATTAGAGCAATTATGTATTATTATGTAATTATTTATTTCTTTATTAATATATCTTATATAGATCTATAAATAGGGACAAGTTTGTGCAATAAAATAAAGTATTTTCTCTCTCCAATTCTCTGAATTTAACATATATTATCATGATCAGCATGTTACTGGCATAGTCAAGAAACTCGGAATACTTGTTCTAATTTATTAGCAAGGGTAATATGAAATATCAGATTTGAATACCATATAAAGAAAGTTGTCAATAACTGCTTCAGCTTCTAGTTGGACAAATAACATAATAAGCAATGTTATGAAATATAACAGAAGGGAAAATTGTTTTGGAGTATTATACAGTATAAGTATATCATGAACAGTTAAAAGATAAAGTTCATAAACCATAATTAGGCTGGTGATGGTGTATGAATCGAGTGTTGGCCAGTAAAATGGTAAATCTTTCATGGAAACTCCATTATCTTAAACCAATTAAATATGATCACTACATTGCTTTCGGCAGCTAACACCACATGCAAACTTGACGTCATTTAAGATCGTGTTGACTAAACTATATTCAACACCACATTCAACTTTTGGCAGGGGAAAAAGCAGGATCATTGAGATAAGTCTGATCCCAAATACTTAGGATTCGGCTGCATGCAGCTGTTGCTGGTACTAACAACAATAAAATTGTGCTTCTTAAGCTACTTTTGATTAATTTAAATTTCATTTTTGAAAGTATACACAAATTATTGATATGTTTTTGAGGCAAAATGCTGTCGATCTTCTTTCAATGTGGACTAGATAGTATCCATCCAAAGAGGATACAATTTTATTGGCCTTATCAACACCTGGATTGTTTCTAGCAAAGAAGCTGTTGGAAGGTTCATGGAGTTTGATTTTTACTGTCCACTTTTCTTATTGGTGATTCTTTCTATACTTAACCAAGATCCAACCCCAAATTGAGTTACCTAGGGGTTGCATGGACATCGCCACCTCCAACAACAATAACATCAAGCCTTTATCTCACCACTACGTGGGATTGACTATATGAATTTTTTTTCTCCATTGTTTCTTATTAAGAGTCAAATTCTTATTTAATTTTAGTAAAAAATGTCATTTTTAATATTTTCTAGTCAAGTCTTTTTAGGCCTAGCTCTATCTTTCTTAAGATAGGCCAAATCCAACATATCTACTCTCATAATCTGGTTATCAGAAGGCTGACGTTTTACCTGTCCAAAACATTTAAAGCGTCTATCTAATCTTATTTGCCATTGGAACTACTCCAACCTTTTCACGACATACTTGTTTCACATTTTGTCTCTAAAAGTAAAAACATGCGTTCACCTGAGCTGCTGAGCATGATCATCTCTGTAACACTTAACTTTGTATTTCTTTTTTAATCGCCAATATTTTGCACAATAAAACATTGTAGGTCTCACCACCATACAGCTGAAAAAATTAAGAAAAATGTTAATTCCGGAAAATATACTGAAAGTATATGTTGAATAGAAAATTATTAACTTTTACTATTATGACCGTTCTAACCTTCTGTAGAAGTGTATCAGCTCCTGTAATTACAACTCTATAAAAAAAAAAGTGGAATGTATATGGTCGTGAATGCAGTAGGAATACCGAACCCCGTAATACTTATTCTGTAATCATCTTATTCGTGTTTTTTTCCCCATTCTTTACTTTTTGTTCTCAATAGCAGGAACCAGTGAAATGCTAATTTCTCATTATTGTCTTCTTTTATCGCATTCAGGTGCCCGTTGTGTGGGTACTTTATTACATGAGATGAAGCGGAGAGGCAAAGATTGCCGGTTTGGAATAGTTTCTATGTGCATAGGTAAATGGACCAGTCTATATCAAAGTTTGCATTCCTATATTTTCTTTTTAGCTGAACTGTATCTTTTTTCCATTTAATTTGACTATACCATTTGAATTGTGCGTCAGGATCTGGAATGGGCGCTGCTGCTGTATTTGAAAGAGGTGATGCTGTCGATCAACTCAGCAATGTAAGGCAGATTGAAACCCCCAAATTCTTGTCTAAGGACGCCTTATAGAACTGGTTTCCTTTCGGGAGTCGATAATTAAATAAATGAAGCGTCTCCATAGATATTCGTATTATCTAAGAGGCTCTTTCAATTCGTGTTGTTTATGAATGGAACGAGTAAAGATGTTTGTTTATTAGTACCTACCCTTATATTCCTCCATCTTATGTTCAAATATTTCATTCATATTATATAATCGGTTTTAAACGTGTTCTGTATTGTTTCTTCTTACAAGCGAAAGATGCAAATTGCAGGGTCTGATTGTTTGCCTTCAAGTGGATTAATTATTATGTGCAGACGCCGAATGCTGTCCGGAGACCAACCAGAATGCGCCATGTCACTATTTGCTTGGTACTGTGGCTCGGTACTGTTGATGTGGCGTATTATCGTTGGTCTCTAAACAACGTTCTATGCACAGAATAATTTCCCCTTCAAGTGAAAACCAGTGGATTTCGTATTTACATCCACTTGGGCTGTTTCTGAATGTTTACATCCTCCTAGATAAATTAAAAGGGGATTTATAAACGTGCCACTTTTTTTTTTTTCAGAATGTTTTAATCACTTAAATTTTTATAATTTTCGTATTATTTTTTAAGTAGTATGAATAATATCACTAACATATAAAGTGAAATATATATTTTATTATGAATATATTTTGATGTGATTTATATCTTTATGATATTTTATAATTATAAATGTGTTAGCTAGGTATGCAAATATTTTTGTTTTGTGATGTATGTAAATTTATCTAAAATAGAATATTTTATTTAGATGCAAGTGGTGTTTCCTTTTCTTTGCCGTAGCGAATAATACTAAGGTTTCGTTTGGGACAGTTTTTTTATTGCTTTCTAAAATGGAGTTTTAGTACAAAAATAAAAAAATTTATACTAAAATTTCGTTTTAGAAAGCAATAAAATATACGTTCCAAACGAACCCTAAGTGTTTAACTTTCTAAGCAGTTTCTTTGCTCTGGAAAGATCAATTAAATAATTACCTGTTTTTTTTTTTTTGTGAATATTTGAGACATTAAGGTAAATTTATACACTATATAGGTAAGTTTCAACTAATGGATTAAAATAAGTCGTGTAATTATTTATGTTTTAATAATAATTGTTAATATAAATATAATTTAAAGGTGGGCGGTGATAATTGTATAATTCTTAAGGTGGAAATTATTATTCTTATTCGTGATATTTATGTTTCTTTGAAAATGTTTAAAGTATATTGGAAATATCAGTCTCTTATATTTTATTGAAATATAATATGGAATAGATTAAACTATGAGCATCTCTTTTATAATATTTTTGTTTGAAGGAATTTATGGTGAAGCTTTCTTAATCATATCACATGCTTAGTATTAGTGCAATAAATTAATAATAGTAATAGTATTAGTAACAATGAATCAACAATGACATTAGTAATAGAGTTATACTATAATAATGAATCAATAACATGCATTTTAGTAATCATACTAAAGAAGTAAGAAGTTCTAGCTATCACGGTATTTTTTAGTAATCAATAATGAGTAATCGTTAGCTCAGTAACAAAGGCATCACTTTTTGTCCGTCAGCATTGTAATACCTCCTTAAAACTCCTAAACATTATATCGGTAGAGGATAACACTCAATATTTAACGAAAAATCTGTCGGCCTACTATTCTTTTTTAGATTAATCAATCCTAAACCAACGGGTCAACCAGTCTTTACTTTTCTTCCTCACTCCCCACATACACATTATTATCATAATACTATAACATTAATAGCGACCAACTATTGCTTAATTTTAATTCACACAATTATTTTTAATGAATTGCAGTAAATAAAGCATAATTGGGCCTAATTCAAAAAGCGTCAGTGTCTTAACGATAGGCAATAAAAAATCTTAGTTAGTAGAAATTCATATTTTCAAAAAATAATCAATTTAGCAAAGATCATATATAACAACAATCTGAAGTTTTAATTGAACTATAACATTATTTTTAGATGTCAAAATAAATTTCTGAATTAACAAAAAACTATGCTTTTTAAAAATCACATAGCTGAAAATATCAAATAATTACACAAAATATTCATAATCTAAATCTCCATTACACATTAAAAATTATGTAGTATATGTTCAATAATAAAAAATTATCATCATTTTTTATAACAAAAATACAAATTTAATCAGAAAAATCTCAAAAATATCAAATTATTAAAATCATAAATAGGATAATGATTTCTTATATGAAGACAAGAAAATCTCTCAATAGGACCGAGTGATTAAAATCACTCTAAGGCCTCTAAATCTTTATTTCTCTTTTCTCTCTCCTCTCTTTTCCTCTCATTTTTTCCCCTAAAGGTTATCTATTAAAAGAATTTGAGAAAAAAAAAGGGATTAATAAAAGTTATATTGCTTTAAGATATTTATAATAAAATATTAATGTAATTATTTAATTTAATTATCTTTTAGTATAAATTTTATATAAACTCTTTATTTTTAAAAAAATTATTAAAAAATACTCATAAAATAACATATTTTATTTAGAAAACTTTGATGAAGTCCATTTGCAAAACGATCATTTGACGGTCCCCAAAGCTTCCACTTGTATGGATAGGTGTGGATTTCCTTCGAAGCTTTTCCAGCCAACTAGAGGTTCTTACTAAATAAAAAAATCTTGTTGAATTTTATTTTGGGCTCTTTAGATTCTAAGAACAATTAATATTATTGGTGCGATTGTGTGTGTATATTTATATATATACACTATAACTCGAAAACTATACAAAATATTCCACATGAGGCACGTTATAATGAAAAAAATCATCACTTTAAATGCCAGATCACCAAAGAAGCCCCTACAGAAATTTCATAAAACTTAAATGAATAATCAAAACGGAAAGATTGTATGCAATAAAACCCCCCCTAAAGTCCAAATACACATATAAAATTTTCTTAGATTTATTTCCCAAGTTACAGCGTCAAAGATGGAGAGTCAGATCAACTTCATCACTCTTCTTCTCTTCATCTGTTGCACTAATTTCCTTACCATCAATATGATCTCCATGACTATCACTTCCCTTAAACAATGCCAACTCCAAGTTTACAGATGTAGAATTCGAAGAAGGTTTTCTTCCCACGTTTAAAGTTGGTTCATGACGCATTTCATTAAACCTAGAAACCCTAACTTCACCCCTTCTCTCTCCATAATACTCATATGGGAGAGAATAAGGTTGGTAGTAGAGAGGATTATGGTTCATTAGAGGCAATGGGAGTGTAAGAAGTTGATGAGAAGCACTTTCTAAACCATAAAGAAAAGAAGATCTTCTGTCGATATAAGGAGAATTAGTAAGCCGAAGTGAATGATGATGCATTGGGTTTGCAAGAAGCTGAGCATGGCGTTGAGCTCTCTTCACAAGCTCTCTTTCTCTTCTATGGCCGTTCTGGTGACCGCCAAGTGCTTGTGAGGTTGTGAAGACCCTATGGCAGTAGTTGCAGTTGAAAACCTTAGATTGCATGCCTTGTATGACTTCTTCTTCTACGTTTGACATAGATATTCTCCCTGCATGAATGCGTGGAAAAGATCACTAAAGGAAAACAGCTGTCTAAGGACGACGTGAAAACAACAAAATCTACCCGGGGGTTATTTTATCGCCGGTATTTTTGGCGGTTTATTATTAAACACCGCCGAGTAAACTGCCGGTTATTACCGGTGTCCAACAGCCGGTTTAACCACCGGATATTCGGCGGTTATTTGACTGCCGGAATTATTGCAGGTAAACGCTGATTTTTCTATAGTGGACCCCAAATCTGAGGCAATAGTACATACCTATACTCGAAGGATGGAGAAATTGTTGTCGTTGGGATGTCGATCGCTGCAAATTAAGTTGAAAATGACAGATGAAATAACAAAATGAGAAATTAAGATAAGAGACGTTGGGTTGTTAACAGTTTGTGATTGGACCCAACAGTCAAATTTTTTCATAGAAATGCAGAGCATATATATATATATATTCTAACCTCTTGTGGGAAAGTGAGAAGGGTTTCATGTCTTACCTTTGAGAAATGCTTCAGTGGATCATTTTAGCTTTTCTTGTGGAAAGTGAAGATAGATAAGATATTGAATTCCTTGTAACTTCGGCTTTTATAGCATGGAAAAGAGTAAGGACTGGTACATGTGTACTTGTAAGTATGAAAAGAGTACATGCTTTGAACCGATTTGCAAGGCTAAGAGGGGAGACAAGGAAGTGACAAAGAAGGAAGGACAGGTGGAAGTCGGATAGAAATCAAAAGTAATTCGTAATGCTAAAACGAGCTTTGAGAATTCTTCAACATAATTATTGTTTCTTAAAATGATTTTTAGTACAAAAGTTAAAGTTTTTGAACTAAAATATTGTTTTAATAAGCAATAAAAAAATCGTCCCAAACGAAATCTAAGAATGCATGCTTTTACATATATGAAGCGAAATGTTAATGCAGAAATGAATGATAATGAATAATTTTTTATAGAATTCATATAAGAAATTCCTTGTAGGATTTTATCCGTTGAACTCAGAGGATGAACCGAATTCCAATATGGAATTTTGTACAACATTTCTATAAGTAACTTTATATCATCATTAGCTTTCATATATAACTTCATACTTAAATGACATATCATTGATAGATATATGCATAAACAAACGTAAAACCCAGTGGCAAAGAAAATTTATAGCGTATTAACTCCTCTTAGGATTTATGTGTGTGTAGAGAGAGAGAGAGAGAGAGAGAGAGAGAGAGAGAGAGAGAGAGAGAGAGATTTACTGGGCTGGTAATAATAGGTTGTGGATTTATGACATAGGCTTCCAGGATGACTATTTACTATAGAGGTTCAAGTCATCTCCCCTTGACTGATATGCATATATATGTGAATTTATATAGTCAGATTCATATCAAATGTTTCCAAATCAATGGCGACTGATGAATTGTAGATCAGAGCATCGGCGGCCAGTGATTAATTTCCAGGCTAAGAAATTTCTTAAGATTCTCCTTATCTATGAAGCCACAAGTAATGGTCGATCTCTTCAGACATGCATGTATCACTTGTTTGAATTATTTTCATTATGACGACGAGATGAATAAGAAATCAAAGCAGCAACTTTGGTTATTTTAGAATTACAGATTTTATTAACATAATGTTTATAGTTAAGAGCTTAATCATCCACTCGTATAAATACAGTCGACTTTGTAGTTAAGTCAAACTCGAAATCATTTGAGGCGTATTTTGAACTTAATTATATCATCTCTCTTTCTCTCAATGATCAAGATCTACAGAGAGAGAGAGAGAGAGATGCTCCGATACTATCGAAAGAGTATTTTCTGGTGATTAGATTTTTATGATAGAGCTCCCCAAATTACAATCAATATTTTTTATTAGAATTTTTAGCAAATGGTCCATAATTTTTAAAAATAATTTAAAGGGGATTTATATACATACCATTTTATATCATATTATTTACATATCTAATATTCAAAATTTTAATATTTTATGCCTATCATCAAAAGATTTAAAAGGGTCAATAAACATTAACCTTTTATCCTTATAAGTTATAACATTTAAAGCAGTTCTATCCGTGTAACTATAATTCTAGCAATTTATTAAAAAAAAACACTATGAATGAAGAAAAAAATAATATGCGAATAACCTAAAATTTTTGCATTCTCTGTATGACATTTTGTGTGAATTTTTTTCCCTATACAGTTCTTATCAAAATTTGATTTTTAAGGCATAATTAAGACAATGGCTTTTCACCAAAAAATTTGATGGTATTGATCTTATTTTTCTTTGAGGATGTAAAAATCTAAGATCATGATTTCATTTATGACCATTTTTTCACTGCTTTCAAAAACAATTTTTTAGTATAAAATTTTCTAATTCATTTTTTTTAACAAAACACTTTAAAAAAGTATTAAGAAAAATGTTCCAAACAAAAGCTATTAGTTTCGAATAAAGTTGCATTAACCTCTTTTGGAAGAATAAGATTCAAAATGTTAAATGAAGATCGAGAGATCCTGCAAATTATTAGTATGAGGATTGCAAGGAATGCCAAAACAAGTGAATTATAATTGGATAAGCGAAGATGTTATCGAAATTGCATTCAAGAAATCATCGTATTAAATAATATAAAGATATATTTTAATGCATTTTGTATCAGGAAGATCTTCAAAATTCATAAATTTATGCTAAAGATAATACTTTTGATTAAATGCGAAAGATGCCCAATGAAGATTGTATTATTACTAAGAAACTTATCATGATTATCACTCATCAATGGATAGATTTCATTTAATCAAAATCAAACTCAATGAAAAAAGAACTTCTTCCCATGAATTTGTTGTCCTTTGAGCCTTATAGTTTTAGGATATTTAAAACATTTTTTGTGTTGTTTTTTTTATTTGATTATTATTTTCTTGATGCTTTTCTAATGCTTTTTAAATATTTATGTTATGAGAAATTGTCATAATCAGAGTTTCTAATGCGAGATCACTTTAAACAAGCAATTTATTTTTTTAAAATAGAACATTTTTGTGGTATTCATAACAGTTTTTTTTTTAAATTAATATTATTTTTTGCATAATAACTTCACAGCCGTCTTTATAAAATCCTAAGTGACATATATATATATATATTTATTTATTTATTTATTTCAAGCAAGTTAAGGTTTGATGAAGAAGTCAGATATATATTTAATCCTGAGGAATTTTTTAGAAAAAAAAATCTAATGAAACAAGTGATCTGTTTTTGGCTAGAAAGATAGTAGAAAAATAACTTTTTTTTTTTTGAAAAAAGATTATAGATTAATAAAACAAAAAGCTGTTACAACAACAAAAAAAGAAAAATAAGCAAGCAAAAGAACAGACCAAACAACATAGGGAAATGAATCTAAAATCGAGCTCAGTAATTAGTCAAGGCTTCCAGCGTCGAAGACATCCTGAACGGAGAGGAATCGCTAGAGAATCCTCAAGGTCACAAACCGAGGGCATAAAAGGAATGGCATTAGGTAATAATAAAAAATCCTTCGCAGCATCCGACCGATTAACAGACTCAATAACATCATTTTGAGCAACATTAATAGAAACAGAAATGGGTGCCGTAATCGAAGAACAGTCATCCACAACTGGACAAAAAACTTCATTAAAAACCTCCAGCAAAACAGAATCCCCCCCACAACCAGGGTTCGCAGACGGCTCAACAGCAACAAGAGGAACAATCTCAGGCACGGAAACATTATTTATCATCTCACCCTCCAAAAAACCCTCAGCAACTTTAAAAGCATCCAAAGAAGCACAAGGGGGGTTGGGAGAATTCAGAATCACAGGAGCAGCAGGTTTGCAATTTCCAAGTACATGACCGATACATTTACAGCCGGCACAAAATTGAGGAAACTCATCAAAAACGACCTCTTGAGTATAACCTAAGGATTCCGAACCTAACCACACTTGTTTCGGATAGGTTTTAGTTATATCAAGTTCAGCTAACACTCTAGCAATGGAAGGACGGGATCCAACAACAGTGGCTTCGTCAATTTTCAGAGGCTTTCCAAACAAACCGCCAAGCCCAAACAAAATGCGAGGTGAAAAGAAATGAGGGCGTAATCGAGGAAACGAAATCCATATTGGAATTACAGGCGATTGCACAGCAATATCCAGAGTTGGCGACCACTTTGTCAATTTCATATAGCAGTTAAACACAAGATAAGAGCGGTGACAAAACACCCTACAGTAGTCAAGGTCGTTGGCAAGCTTGATCAGGATATCAGAAGAATCCAAAACCGTGATAGAGACCTCACTTTTCAGCTTCAAATTGAAAAAAAAAATTTGCGAATAGAATCAAGAGGCGGTCTTTTAGAAGGAAAGAAACCCACAAGAGAAAACTAAAAGGGGGCAGCGAGATCTTGGATTTCCTGATCGGAAATCCATAACGACGGTAATCCACGAAAGGTCGTAGCATACAAATCCGGAAACAAAAGTTTAGAACCAGCTAGAGCTTCAATAAAAGAACGCGAATGGGAAATCCCACCGAAAAAAACCGGGATCCCGAAGTTTCGCAGCCGCCATGCCGGCGCAGCCGGCAAAACTTATTAATGAAGACCAACGTAGTTTTAAGTCCATGAAAATAAGATCCGGTGGTATGACTAACCGAAAGAATGGCAATAAAAGAAAATTGGTTATGGCCAAATAAAAAGAAAATAAATAAAAATTAGGGTAAAAGCGTCTAATGCTACAACATATGAGATTTAAATAAGCATAATTCTACAAATTCAAACTTTGGTTATCTAAAAATAGAAATAAGGAAAAAAAATATAATCAATGCGCATGTCAAAGCATGTTACTTAACAACATTTAACTTCTAAACGTCATATACATATTATTCAAGCAGCTTATCTTACAACTCATATTAAGTTTAGTTCGGAAAAGCTTTCTAAAACGTTAAATTTTTTAGTACAAAAATTTTTAATTTAAAAAATAATTTACTAAAAAATTATTTTAAAAAATAGTCAGTGGACCCAAATGAAGCCTTAGTGTATTGATTATGAGCTTGAGCTTTTAACCTAAAGATCCAAAATTCGAAATTTTGTATATTTCATAAATTTATGATTAAATTGTTCAAATTCATATACATTGGGCCAACATATAGAGAAATTATTCTGTGTGGACATCGGACCGTCCGAAGACGAATCAAAACACAGAACGTCACCCAATACATAGCCGCGGTACACAACAAAAAAGTGACATGACACGTTATGATTCGACTTTGGACGGCATCTGTATCTGCACAGAATAATTTTGCCAACAGAGTACGATCGAGATGTGTTAATTCAAACAGGTGGAAAGCTGCTAATCAAACTCCATGTACAACTAGTCTTATTCTAACTCTTTTATGAGACCAACCCATTTTTATTTGATTGTAGACTAATCACACCCAATATACTAAAAAAACAAGCTGATTATGACCTCATGATCTGAAAATGACCAGTTCATAGCTCTAACCCTAAAAAAACAGTCTACAGAGGGTTGTGTAAACCATTTATTCTCCAGGTGGGCTTGGGATCCCCAACCTAACCTGTTCGACCCAATGACTCAAATTGGAATCCATTTTAGCAGCATCGAAATTACATCCTTCTAAATAATATAAAAACATTCAGCTCAATCTTTCTTAAATAGTAACATACTGACTTCATGAACTGAATTCATCCATACAAAGAAAATACAGCAATAAAATATCAGAATCATCCCATGCAAGTCATAAGACAAAATTCAGAGTATCGATAAAAAAAAAAAAAAAAAAAAAAAAAAAAAAAAAAACATAGAAGAACACTTTAAGAGAAGCAGGATAGTCGGCAGGCTTAGATGTTCTCAACTCTTCAGTATTATACCTGTCGACTCAATTTACCTGTATGACTCAGGACGTTTAGGTTTGCTCTGGACAATAGCCTCAATCTTCTCAAGCACATCAGGCGTCAGCTTAGGAAGGACTTCGAGAGCCTTCATGTTTTCTATTATCTGATTTTGGAACAATTAAGAGTAAATTAGGTTATTGGAGCCGGACAGGGGAGGCTACTCTGCCTAAAAGTGTATACTGAAGATATAGACTGATTTTTTTTTTTTTTTTTTCCGATATAGACTGATTTTTTTTTCCCGAAACAAAACCGGTAAACACAAATACACAATCATCTGTACGAGTATAAATGATTGTGAATTTAAGGTTTCGTTTAAGACAGTTTTTTTGTACTTTCTAAACAACTTTTTAGTACAAAATTTTTTTGAATTAGAAAATTTTATATTAGAAAGCAGTATGAAAGCTGTCCCAAACGAAGCCTAAGTGGGATATTAAGATGCCTTGTAGTTAAACTTGATTAGATATTCTCAACAAAAGCCCAACGTCGGTATCCAAAACTCTAACTGAACATTTCAAGCTGTTCAAATTCTCAAAAGAAAAAAAGAAAAAAAGAATAGATACAAGAAAGGGGAAATTTATTTATTTATTATCTCATATCTCATCCTCTCTAAATAGAGAAACTTATAAACGAGAAGACTTGCGCAAGCTAATTACTCTAACTAATTAATCAATTTAAACTACTAAATGTACTCTTAATATCCCACTCAGATTCACAATAATGCATGTAAGAGTTAGTTTGACCACTAATATTGAAGTTTTATTAAAATCAACTAAAATTGCACCCTAGTTACAAAAAGTTTACAGAATGTTGAACAATTTCCAAAATAAATTCCAAGACTTCTCCATTTTAAGAAAATAGTATTACCTCCCGTTAAAGGGGAAAACCAAATAGCACTGATCAATTGAATTGTAGTATTGTTTATTTTAAAGGGTAAGGTGCAAATTTGATGAAATGAAAATTGTATGCTTTCTGGTTATAAGAACTCTTCTGGCCATAATTAAAACTAGAATGATTGCTTTGCTCAATGACTTCTACTTAAATGCATGAAAGAAATTACACGAAGAAGATTTAACCATTTTCTTGAGGGGATTGGAACTCTCATCTTCTCTTTTGAAAGACAATGGATAAAAATCATAGGAACTATCAATTGTCAAAATAAACATGCAACAACAATAACAACAAGTCTTTATCCCACTACATGAGGTCATCTACATAATTTTTTTTTCTCCATTGCATCCTATAAATAGTCAAATTCTCATTTAAATCTAACAAAAAAGTTATTTTTAATACTTTTAAATCAATTATTTTTAGGTCTACCTCAATCTTTCTTAACATAGGTTGGATCTAACATATCTACTCTCCTATTAGGGTCATCAAAAAACCGACATTTTATTTGACCAAACCATCTAAGGTGACTATCTAATTTTACCTGCCACTAGATCTACTCCAACATTTTCACGTATAATCTTATTTCGCATTCTATCTCTAAGTGTAAAGCCACTCATCCACCTAAGCATCCTCTATCTCTGCAACACTTAATTTAATGTTTCTCTTTTAATGATCAATATTTTGCATCATAAAGTATTGCATGTCTCATCATAATCTTATAAAATTTTTCCTTAAAAGTTTACTTTTCTATCACACAACTATTACAGAGGATGAATGTGTATTTTCACTCTAAATGTTGATGGTTTATTTCATTTTAAATATTTTGAATTTTGGAATTTTGAGCTTTCTTGGGTATTTGGGAAGCATTTAAGTGTTTGTGAATTAATCTCTCTGATTGAGATTTGCATTCAACATGGCCATCATCTGGGTATTCATGGGAGAAAACATAGGAGAAATCAGCAAGAAATAATGAGATATTGACACAACAAACCAAGATACAAGTTGATTTACTATTTGAGAGGTAGATCGACTCTCCACAAATCCTAAGCGTCACTAGGAACAACTCCAAAGAAAACAAAAACAAAACACAATTTATATAATGAAAATAAAAAAAAATTAATTAACCCTAAATAAACCTTCATAATTCCCTCCCAAATTTGAATTAAAATAAGCTCTATTTCCCTAAATAAACCTTCATAAGTTCCTTCCAAATCTGAATTCAAATCAGCCCTCTTTCCCTAAATAAACCTTCTTAATTCCCTCCCAAATTCGAATTCAAATCAACCCTCTTTCCCTAAATAAACCTTCCTAATTCTCTCCTAATTTTGATTTTCTATGAAAAATAATTAAAGGTAGAATTAATCCCCTTTGAGCCTCCCTCTCTCCTTGCCCCCACCCACACTAGTGGGGCCCACAGGCTCAATCGATCTATCAATACTCCTCTCCCAAAGAGCTACCTTGAGCACAAGGTGGAACAAAGGAATCTGCTATTGAATCATTCGGTATAGTTCCCATGTTGCTTCATAGTCGGGCAGATCCTTCCACTTGATCAGTGCTTCTCAAGTTTCTCCTGCGGTCAAGCGAACTCCTTTCATTTCCCTTGGCTCAAGAAGTAACTTTAAGATTCTTTAACCAATCCTAACAATGAAGTGTCGCCCCAACAAGTAGGGTGCCATCCACCACTTTTGGATGGCCAGCACAATCATTATCAGTTCCCTCTCATAGACTGACTTAAGCCTCGCCCTGGCAATCAACACATAACTAAAATAAGCCATTGGTTTCTGGTCCTGCATAAGTACAACTCCTATCCGATGCCCCGAATCACCCATCTCCACCATAAAAGGCTGGCTGAAGTCGAGTAGGGCTAACATTGGCACGCTGGTCATCGCATTCTTCAACTCCTCAAAGGCCTTAATAGCGGCTTCACCCAAATTGAAATTATCCTTCTTTAGTTATTCGGTCAAAGGCCATGCTGTTGAATTGGATCCCTTCAAGAACTTTTTGTAGTAGCAAATAAGCCCCAAGAACCCTCTCAACTCCCTCAAGCTCTTAGGTATTGGCCATCCTAGCATGGCCTTGATTTTGCTCCAATCAACTGTTACTCCTTCATGTGATACCACGTGTCCCAAATACTCCACTCTAGGCTAGGCGAATGAGCATTTCCTCAAATTGGTAAACAAGTGGTGGTCTCATAGAGTGGATAACATGAATCCCAAGTGTTCTAAGTGCTCCTCCTCACTCTTATTGTAAATCAAAATATCATCAAAGAAGACTAACACAAACTTTCGTAGATATGGCTGGAATACCCTGGTCATAAGGGATCAAAAAGTAGCTAGAGGATTAGTGAGGCAAAAAGGCATCATTAAAAACTTGTAGTGTCCCTCATGAGTTATAAATGTTGTCTTAAGAAAATTCTTGGGCCTCATCCAGATCTAATAGTACCCTAGCTTATGAATTTTTGAGAGAAACACCGCTCCATAAAGCTCATCCAACAACTCATCAATCACTAGAGAATAGGAAACTTGTCTAGCACAATCTGCTTGTTCAGTGCCTGATAGTCCACACCATCTTTCTATTTCACTAATAACACTGGACTGAAAAATGAACTGACACTTGATCGAATGATCCCTGCTTCTAGCATCTCCCTGATCAAGCCCTCAATCTCATCCTTCTAGATTTTAGAATAATGGCATGGACGAACACTACTATATGAGTCTCCTTCCTTCAAAAGGATAGCATGCACGTTTTCCTGCGAAGGATGCAACCCCTGAACTGGTTGGAACACCTCTCGATACTCTTGTAGGAGTATCTGAACCATGTATGGTGCTTTTATCTTCTCCCCATCCTCTTCTCCTTCCAAACTCTGCAACTCCACCAAAAATCCCACCCCTTCATCCTAAATTTCCCTCACCATAGTTTTGAGTGAAACCATAACTTGGACAGACTAAGATCCCCTCTAATAACCACTTTTCTCCCCTCAATCTTGAACTACATCATTAGAGCCTTCCAATCAATCTCGTTCTTCCCTAACTTTTGCATCCACTTCATCCCCAGTATCACATTTAAGTCTTCCAATACCTTGAACCTCTAGAAGGATTATGATCACCCATTTGCAAATTCTACTCCTCTCTACTTTTCATGTTCCTAGCATAATCCCAAAGCCACCTTGTCTACTAATTTCAGTCCAAATTGATCCACCATCCTATTGGAAATGAAGTTGTGAGTAGCTCCACTATCCATCGGTACTACCACTTCTTGATGCCTGATCGTCCCCTTAATATTCCTGGTGTGGTTCGATATGAACCCAACCACTAAGTTAAGGGATACCTCTGCAACATCTCAGTACATATGATCATCTTCCTCCTTTACTTCCTCTTCTTCAACATCTTCCTCCTCATCGCGGACTATCAGGACCTGTAAGGAATGGTCCTTATAACGGTGGCTTGAAGCGAAGTTCTCATCACACCTATAAGCATAAATTTTTGGCCCTCTTCTCCTGAATTTCTAACTCAATCAACCTCTTGAAGTTCCCCCTTGGTTATACTCCCTAACCTCTATCCCCATGGGGCCTCCGTCTGAATAGGCACCAACTGCACCTTTGGTGCCATAAATGTAGTGGTCGTGCGGAGGGAGTCTTCCAAACTGCTGCTACGACTACTACTCTCCAAGAAGTTCTTATCCTCCACCAGTTGGGCTAACTCCATAGACTTTCCTAAGCCATGTGATCTTAGTACTCGAACTTCTTGTATTAACAAACAGATAAATTAATTAAAAATATGGCTCAAACGATTTCAAGCTAGACTTAACTACAAAATCAACTGTGTTAATATAAAACACTATTCATGAGTGGGTGACTAATTTCTTAACTATACACAATATGTTTATCAAATCTGTAATTCTAAAATAACCAAAGTTACCGATTTGATTCCTTGTTCATCTCATCGTCGTACATGTCTGAAGAGATACACCAACACTTGTGGCTTCATACATGCATATATAGCTGAAAAGATAAGTAGAATCTAAAGAAATTTATTATCCTGGAAATTAATCACTGCTCGATACTTTGATCTCCAATTCATCAGTCGCTATTGATTTGGAAACATTTTATATGAATCGAAATTGTTAAATTCAGAGTTGGAGAAGGAATGGCTTTAATTTTTATATACAAAGCTATCTCTATTTATAGATCTATACATAATATTTTAATAAAGAAACAATAATTATATAATCATGCATAATTGGCCTAATATAATACTTCCTAAATCAGCCACCCAAATATGGAAGGAGATCGGCATGATCCAGGTGAGCCAAGCACAGATTACCATCCTGGCCGTAGGATCAAGTGTCAAGGGACGGCTGGGATTTAACAGAGATCGGCGTGATCTAGGTGAGCTACCCACGGATTCTCATCTTTGCCATGGGATAAAATGTAAAGGACAGCTGAGATTTTAACACTTCTACTCAAGCTAGGGAATACAGATATGTCATTCCTAGCTTGGTATCTAGTCCCATAAAAGTACAGTTATCAAGTCCCTTGGTGCACCATAGAGTCCTCTATTTTATCAAAATTTTGGGAGAAATTAGCTTCAGATATTACGGTGGCAAAAGATAGCAATGAAGGCTATATTAAACAGGGAAACAATGAAGGTTGCATTAGTAATAGATAGGATAACAACCACAAGGGAAGGCTGGAAATGAAGGCACAACATTAGGAAAAAAAATTAGATTTTAGGGTTGCGGCAAGTTTCAAGGACAACAACAAAAAAACATGTCTCAAGTGGCTCAACACTTGGCAAATAAATCTCCTCCCATCTGATTGAGTCAGCCTTCAGTCCAATGCAAATCAGTCATCTGACTCCACCTGAACACTCCTCTTGTTCGATCGACCCCATACAAGCGCACGCAAGGCCTCTAATCCCTTTGGTCTAATCACTGGAAGGAGTAAAGGTCTTGCACTCTTGCTTGTCCCGGCCCTAGACCCTCACAAGAGGGAACTCTTAGCTCTTTTCATACGCACGCACGAGGAGGTCTTGTGCTCAACTTCTCTCGCTTATGCTTGGTCGACTCTGGTCATTACACACGAGAGGAGCCCTCCCGCTTGATCTCTCCTCGGTTTTGAACACATGAAGGAAGCAGAATGACCAATATTCCTTAGAATTCCAGCAATGAAGGCCGGTAGTGAGAATCTGTATTCCGCATAATTCTAGCACTGAAGGTCAGTGGTAAGAACCTGTATTCCTCAGAATTCCAGCAATGAAGGTCGGTGGTGGGAATCTGGCTCTAATACCATGTTAAATTCAGAGAATTGGAGAGGGTATGACTCTAATTTTATTATACAAAATTATCCCTATTTATAGATTTATATATAATAACTTAATAAAGAAACAAATAATTATATAATCATGCATAATTGCTCTAATATTATACTTCTTAATCAGCCACCCAAATATGGAAGGAGATTGGCATGATCTAGGTGAGCCTCCCACGGATTCCCACCTTGGCCATGAGATCAAGGGCCAAAGGACGGTTGGGATTTTAACATAAATATAAAAATTCATTTATTTATATATGTATATCAATCAAGGGGAGATGACTTGAACCTCTATAGTAAATAGTCATTCTGCTGGAACCCCATGCCATAAATCCACAACCTATTATTACCAGCCTAGTAAATGTCTATACACACGCATAAATAGTATGACGAATTAATACGTTATAAATTTTCATTGCCACTGGGATTTACGTTTGTTTAAGCATATCTCTATCAAATGTCATATAAGTATAAATTTATATAAGAAAGCTAATGATGATAAAAATTGGAATAAAAAAGAGGGGGGATGTATATAGTGCATACTACACGACATATAAACCTTTATCAGTAGCATCCTAGATTTAACCATGGTTGCTAAAAGTTTGTGATTAAACAATTGATTAATCTTGTAGTGCTCTAAAATTTCATCTCTTAAAATTTCATATTGGATGAAGCATTTTGGTTAAGTAAAATAAAAAAAAAATGATGACGTCAATATTCTATGAAAATTGCATATTATTTTCTTGTTGTAAATTACAAAACATTTACCTGGCTCTCCTTTGTTGCACCAGTAATTACTGATGAGACATTTGGATTTGAAGCACACCAAGCAATAGCAAGTTGAGCTAAGGTAGCACCAAGCTCATCTGCGATAGGCTTCAATCCATCAACTTTGCGCAACACATCATCAACAAGTGATCTGCTAGCAAGATTCTGCGTTGAACATTACCATGCTTAGACAACAAGAATAGCTGTTTTCTCAAACTTTCTTGTAGGTATTAAATTAATAAAAAAATTTGGATCAACCTATAAACTTTGTCTGAGAAACTACGCGTACAACAAATACAGTGAAAACAATCAGAAATGGAAGCATATAAAAGAAAAACACAAGGCTAACAAGTTGGTTAGGCAAGTCCATACGCCCAGCCCTTTAAATGCCCTTTAATAGCACCTAAGCACCAGCCTCATATTTAACAACCTCTAAATAGTGCAGACAGAACTTATAAGTGAATATATGAACACTTACTATAAATGATTCATCAGATTTAAACAAAAAGGAATGGAAATTTTAAATGCAATAGAAACAGATTTGTGAAAGTATCATTACCTTGTAATTATCCAAGGAAAAACGACTGTCTGGAGGTATGGTTCCCTTGTTATACTTCCCAGTAAGAACACCTGATGCCAGTGGACTCCATGTGGTCAGTCCCAAGCCATAGCTACTGTAAAGCGGAAGGTATTCAGCCTCAACCTGCATCAAAAATACAGAAATGCTGAAAGAAGTTCAGATGCAAAAGACAGCTCGCTATTGGGATGTTGAATAAATTTTTTAGTAAAATTTCACTCGCATCTCAAAATATAACTCTTATGCAGTGGTGGAGCTACAGTGGGGGGGGCCTGGGGTCATAGGCCCCCACTATCCAATTAACAAAAATGTGGATAGCAGTAAAAGCCCAACAATAACCTGCCGCCCGCAAGAAATGCGAATATCCCTAGATTTGAACCCAAACCTTCGGGTTCCACAGATAAAAATTATCCGTTGGGCCACTACGCAATTGTATATTCTATTTTTACTATTTTTAACTTATATTATCATTAAACAGGACATTACTATATAATATATTTGTAAACTAATTGATGTGAAACTACTACGAGTTACGATCAAAATTAAAAGAGAATTGTTAAAGTTTGCTTATTATAAATTTATGTGGATCATACAAGATAAAGTTAAGAATTAGAAACGTTAACTTCGCTTAGGTCAAAGAGATGCGCTTGAGATTAACCAAAATAGTTCATTCAAAATCCAAGGGAATTAAATGCAGAGTACAAATAACAAAACCCAACGTTTTAACAACGAGAATTTCACCTTGGGGCCGTATCACTCAAAGATTGGTGGACTTTTGGCGGAGATAGAAGATCCAAGCGATGAAGGAAGTTACCACTAAAGAAAGGGCGCCGAGGAACCTCGTCGGAGGAAGAGTAGCCGGCGGGGATGGGTGTCGTAGGTGACCGTCAAGGCTCCACGTGTGCTTTGCAAATTTCCGGTCGTAGATGCTTGCAAGGATTGGCACGACTCTCTCCAAGTACTATTCCACAGTGGTTTCGTCTTCGAATCCTACGTCGAAGCAAGGTGACCGTAGGATGTTGATGCTTCCGTCGGCGTGGAAAACTAGACCCCACTCAAACTCCGGATCCGCCATACATGCTTG